GTATGTCCCTAGCATAGCACTGCAGTATGTCCCTAGCATAGCACTGCAGTATGTCCCTAGCATAGCACTGCAGTATGTCCCTAGCTGTTAGCACTGCAGAAATGAAGGGCCAGTGTATTGCCACACATTCTTGTCAACTGTGTTGGGATAGAACCCATGTAAAAATAAACTGAATACATAGGAGTTTGTACCAGGACTGTGATTTAGGGATAGAGTGTTGTCTAGGGTCACACTGAGGTTTCGTGGTATGACGTAATGTAGGGCTAGAGTGTGGTCTACAGTGACCGTGAGGTCTAGGATTACGACGTGGTCTAGGACAGAGGTTCTCAACCAAATTTTGTGGTTGTGAGTGATGTGCAATGTCGTTCAAGGAAATCAGGACAGCTCCCCCCCCCCCCCCAAGTCCAATAAATGCAAACAAATACAAACAAAACAAACAAACAGAAAATTTGTGATGATTTAATGAGTGAAGAACAATGTGGGTTCTGAAGCTAAACCAGTTGGGAACCACTGATCTAGGTCATTGTGCATTCCTGGTTTACAGTGTGATCAAGAACTATGTAGTGTTCTAGGATTATCGCAGTGTCATGAACAACATTATAATCCGGGGTTATGCTGTGATCTAGGATTATGGTGTTCTATTGTCATATTTTTTGCCTGTTGCTTGACTTTTAGAATACAGAATAAATTCACATTCACAGTTCCTGTCTGTGTTCTGCATCCTGGGTTTTGTTTGTTTACATCTTCAAGATCCATGTTGAGTTGTAACATTGCCTCTGTTTTTCTCTGTGGAGGTTGATGGCCGGATTGAGTGTGTGTGTCTGTCTCTAGTGTGACAGTTTGTGTGTGTGTGTCTCTCTGGCTGGCTGGGCATGTAAATGCGTGAGCGTGAAAGGGGCTGGGCACTGACCCGTGTGCTGCCGTCGGTGCTTGGTCAGGGCGTGGCGAGTCCCGCCCGCAAATCCGCAGAGGTCGCACAGGAAGGACTTCTCTCCTGAGGAAGGGAAGGCATGCATCACCAAAACATGCCCGCCTATGGGCTGCCGAGCAGGCGGGTTCCTCCAATCGGACGTCTCCGTGTAAATATGTCAGATGGGAATGGAATTACCGCAGCGTTTTATTGACTGTGATAAAATCTGAAAAGCACCACTGAACATAATTACATACTTGTCAGAGCCGTAAAAATGAGCTTTACTGTCAGGAGGAGGCTTTCGTATGGCTTCATCCCGCCTGCCGGCTCCCAGATGGGCCTCCGCGACTGGGCCGCCTCCTGCCACACCTGGCTCTCCCGTCACGCCTGTGGAGCCGCTGCCTCGCGCTCCTTCATACTGGGGGGGGGGGGGGGGTGGTCACCCGTTACCGAGCCATACATCACGGACTCATAACGGCCGTGAGCAAAAGCACGGACCATAAACAAACGCGCCGGAAATGTAAATACCGCTGCAGTAAAAGCGTCAGTAATAACATACAGCTCGCGTTTAAGGAAACGTGTTGTACGCGGCACGTCGCTAATCACCGTAATAAAGCCCACAAAGTATAAAATCTCCGACAAGTGATCTTGAGCACGCTCCCTGGACGGACACCTGTGCACCGGCTAACGCTAATGCTAATGGCCCCCAATTCCAGCGGTGTCCGAACCGCATGCATATCTCTGCACAACCCCCCCCCCCCAACCCAGGCACAGAGCCCATCCTCATGCCAAGGCCCGTGTGCCTAATGTTTGGCGTGGGGCTGAAGCTGTGCCGTTTAATGACACGATATTCCCGTTCAGTAATTAATCCAATTAGTGAGATAATTGGGGTCACGAGCTGATAATGGGGAAATATCATTTGGGAAAAAAGCTCTGGGTTCAGTTCCCTTCTCCTCCTGCCACTCAACTTCTGGTTGGAACTTAGTGGGGAAACGTTGGGTATTTACGCCGCCTTTGGTCTGGCAGAAGCGAGTTGCATGGGTAATGCTGGGTAACACAGTCACCTCAGGGGTTGTGGGTTCGAATCCCTCCTTCACTCCATGGGCGTTTTCCACTGCACCAAGTACCGTACTTTCGGTACTTCAAGGTTTTGATTTTGCACTGGTACCGGCGCTGAACGAGGCGGAGTATTATATACTGAATTCAAAATATGGCTGCAGTATGTTATATGGCTGGATGATATCCGATACACCTGGAAATGTCCCCCCAGGGTAAAAAACAGGTTTTACAGCATTGTGGGGCTCTGGGTCTCTACAATGTGGTAAGCACTGTGTGTGTGTGTGCATGTGCGCGTGTGTGTGTGTGTGTGTGTAAAGAGCAGCTGCTGCTCACAGACCTCGGCCATCACGATCAGTGGCGAAGAGCGTGACCGCAGACGGGAGGCGATGTGAGCACATCCGCAGATATTAGCTGTGCGACCTTTCACCTCCTCCACGTGCCTAGCTGCCCCGAGAGCGGACAAGGGGGTAACATTCACACGCCTAGGGCAACCCAGGGTGACCGCAGTCGGGCAAGACTGCTGACTGCCTATGTACTAAGAATGAAGGAGACAGATGGTGAAAAACCTGTGTAGTCTTTCCAGGACACAAGCTGGATTAAAATAATGTAAAACAAGAAGGACAAGGCCTGCTAAAAGGCTACAAAAATTAATAAAAATTTAAATACAATACAATTTAAAAATAACATCATCTGAAATCCCTCCTGCAGTTATGGACGCTTTGGGTCAGTCTTGGGGCCTGCTGCTTCTCCACAGGGCAGGGTAATGAATTCCACTTGCTATTGGCTCATGCTGAACCCTACCCAGAGAGCCGCCTGGTCTGTTTCATTCCTGTCAGGAAACAGCTGTCCCCCCGCCCCCCCCCCCCATCACTCCACACGCTTCAGGAATCGGCCACAGAAATCCATCCGCATCGACCCCACACCGCCGTCCCCACAGGTACGCCTCACCAGGAAACGCCGGCCGTAAATTACACGAGTGCCCGCTTTCCATCCGTCGCTCAATATCGTGGGGGGGGGGGGGGGGGGGCGGGAGCGCTGGACTACCCACAGGACGACTAAGCACCAAATTTATAGAAATGAAGCGGTAGGAACTTAACTGGAAAATAACAGGCCGAGCCGACATCAGTCATTGGCCCGGTCCGTTTGAGTGACGAGCCAAAGTCCCCCCCCCCGCTGCCCCCACACCCCCTGTAGGCCAGCTGTGCTTGGACAAGTTTTATTTTCCAGGGCTTCCCCCTTTCTCTCCTCCTCTCTCTCTCTTTCATTCTTTCTTTCTTTTTTAATAACGCACCCCAGAGGAGCTGCATGCTGCCATAATTGTCTCCCTCATTAGTTATGTTTTTGTGGGAGGGAGCAGGGGGGAGGGGTGGGGGCAATTAATTTTATCACTTAATTTTTGTCACTGGATCCGCCGGCGTATTGACGCGGGCGCCATTTTGGGCCTCGTTTTTTCACAAAATTAATTGACATAGTGCGGAGATTTCTCAACATATCGCTGGATTAAGCGACAAATTGAGGCGACGGGGAAATCAATTGTGCCCCTGTCGCTTCACCAAGGGGGGGGAGGGGGTGTATCGGGGGGGCCCTGGTAAAGACGATGCTTTGATTTTTTTATTTATCTGGGGGACCCATAAATCAGGGGTCACGCGTGACGTTCAGCGGAACGCCGGAGCCTTTTCCGGTGAGTTCCCAGCCGACGGACCACTGGAGAGCAGGCCAAGGAAACCAAAAGTGCTCATTAACGTGCTCGTTAAGAGCTGTGCTTAAACATGAGTATCACATGTGCTGGCCAAACCGAAAGGAAAAAGCATGAAAAACTTATTATCACGCTGAGTGACCAGTGTATTAGATATGCTCAGGCAGCACTGGGCAGGACTCAGTTCTACCTCCACTCTAACAAGGTCTTTTGCCCCCAGTACAGCTGCTGAATGAATGTTTTTTGTTTACTGCACCATTCTCTGAAAACTCTAGACAGTGTGAAAGTCCCTGGAAGGTGGCTATTCCTGAGCTGCAGGAATCACAATGTCTGGCCCCAACAATCCCAATCAAAATTGCTTGGATCAGGAGCCATAGGCCATTCTAAAGTCGTCAATTTTGTCCTTCGTGTGAAACCTGAGTGGCGCCCTGTGGTGGCATTTAAGGAAATTAAGGAGAAGAGGGGCAGCGGCGGTGCAGGAGAAACACGCCGGCCGTGCGGGGAGAGGGACAGCGGCAGGGCAGGAGAAACACGCCGGCCGCGCGGGGAGAGGGACAGCGGCGGGGCAGGAGAAACACGCCGGCCGCGCGGGGAGAGGGACAGCGGCGGGGCAGGAGAAACACGCCGGCCGTGCGGGGAGAGGGACGGCGGCAGGGCAGGAGAAACACGCCGGCCGTGCGGGGAGAGGAACAGCGGCGGGGCAGGAGAAACACGGGAGAGGGACGGCGGCGGCTGAACGCGCAGGCCGGCTCGCTCACCCGTGTGAGTGCGCCCGTGGTCCTTCAGGGCCGACAGCGTGAGGAAGGAATAGTGGCAGGACGGCCACTCGCATTTGTAGGGCTTCTCCCCCGTGTGCAGCTTGCAGTGGTTCTTCAGGGCCCAGCGCTCGCTGAAGGAGCGGTCACACAGGTCACACTCGAACTTCCTGCAGATGGAGGGAGGGAGCAAGAGAGGGAATGTGGGACAGAATGAGGAGGAGAGAGACAGGGAGAGAGGGAGTGAGGGGGAGAGACAGAAAGAGACAGAGACAGAGGGTGTAAGCAATGTTTGCTCTTCAGTCAGCGGAGCCCATCAGTGCCACAGACCGACTCTGACGCTGCTATTCGAGGGGTGATCAGGTGGTCAGCTGGAGGAACGAGACTCTCGGAAGGGTCAAAGACCCCTGAGAGCCACTTTGGGCACTGCTCTCGGGAACCACACACCTAAGCTACCTCAGGGACACGATGGCCCATCACCCTGTCACATCTGCCGAGACAGACATTGATTTCCCTGTCAGGAGGCCAGGCCGCCGCTGTTTATCCCAACGGGCTCCATGGTTACAGCCAGGTGCACATAAGCAGGGATTAGGGGTCACACCACTTCTCTGGATATGGAGAGTGGAGCAGAGTGAAGGTAGAAGTTGAAACCTTTCAGACTGGCCAGTGGGAGTGGCCAGTACGAGCCCCACCTCCAGTCTCCTCCCACAACGATGTCATCCAGCTACTTGTTTATGCTTGGTTATAAACAGTGAGCAGTGACTGACACTTCGAGGCTGCAGGTTAAACACAGCAATAGATGCGAAATTTGTTTTCACTAGAGATGAAATGGAATGAAAATTTAATGTCATGATTATAGTGACCAAAATTATCTCTTAATCAGTATTATCATGGTATTGTTGAAAATGTGCTGAAAATGTTCAAAAAGTACTGATACACAAAATGAGATCATTTCACCAAGTTTTATATTGAAAACCACAAATAAGATTAGCAGCATCATGCACTTCCTGTTTGCATAAACATTAAAATAACAACATAGCCTATAGCTTATGTAAACACATATAAACCATATCAAATGTGTGTTAATATTAATGAATACTGGCTGTCACTGCCATCTGCCATGTTTTCACGGACACAAACCAAACCCTCGCTGCATGTTATGCCTGTGCTGGAGACTTGCTAACGTTGGTTGATGCTTGACTATATTTAGCCCACATTTTCCAAGCACGGTAATCAACCACGGTTATAATGATCATTAAAATTTGAAACAATAATACTAACCGTCTGAAATTTTAACGTGGTTTACCGTGAAATCGGAAACCATTTCATCCCTATTTTCCACGTAATACGGCTGCTGTAGAGGTAATCTCTCTGCCAACTGGACAACTGGACAATGGATCCAGAGGCGTCTGAGGTCTCCAGGTGTCGCGGATTTAAAACACGAACGGAAGGGGTAAAGGTTAGGGTGCCGAGGAAGCCAAAGGACTGGCCCAGGAGTTTAGCTACTGCTGTACTGGTTTAGGAATTGGTGTACTGGTTTTGTGACAAGTGAACTGATTCAGGAAGCCCTGGATGGTGCTGTCTGCAGTAGCATTGAGAAACCATCCTACAGAGCTGTGTGAGTGTCTGATGGGGGGAGTGAGCCTCCTGGGGGCTGAGCAACCCTGACGGGGCAGGAGGAGGGATGGAGATGGGGGGGAATCCTGAAAAACCATAAAAGTGCTCATTAACTGAATAGGAGGAGGAGGAGGAAAAAAAACATGACGGAGAAGATGATCTGATCGGGGAGTCACTCTTTGGCCCTTCTGCAAATTTTCCTCCCTCTTCCAGAGGATACTGCTCTTGTACCTTTAAGTGAGGTACCTACACCAAACCACTTAACTGTTACTAAATGTCTAGTAACTAGCAAAAGGTTTGTCTGGCTGGAAACTAGCCTCCTGCTTCATATCCAGCTCAGAGCCAGAGCAAACTCTGCCATACTGGCACACTTTCAAGAAGTCTGTGATGCTTTTTGAAAGGCCTCTCATGTCCAGGTCACGTCTAACATACCAGGAGACGTGGGCCTGTCAGCCTTCTGCTCCGAGGCCTCAAACTGGCAGAGTCTAGACCAAATTAAGCAAATGAAGATTAAACAATGCTGAAATCTAGGGCGAGACAGGTATTAGCGTAGGGCGGTCATGCTTCAAGTCCGTTTGGAGGCGGAGATTTGGGAGACGGGCGGAGGAGCGTGCGAGCGTGAGAGAGAGGGGTCCCTACACGAGTCGATCCAAACGGCATTAGGAAACATTCAGTAAACATTAGGAAAGACACTCTCATCTGGGATTACAGCCTCCTGAAAGCACGGCGGCCCTCATTAATTCTATTTATTGTGGATCCGAACCTGACGCGACTGCAGCACGTTGATTTCGGACAAAAGCAGTTCTGGGATCTGCAGTACAACAGCTTTCAGATGCTGAAAGCGTTCAAAGTGGAAACAATCTGTGTGTATAAACTGCTGCGATATTAGCTTGGCTCCTTCTAGAACACACACACACTTAAGCACACGCACAGACACATAAACACACACACATAAACACACGCACACACATTTGAAGGATGGAGGCTCTGGCTGAAAGCATCCAGCATCTTACTGCAGTCTGTGAAGAATCTCATCCCGTCAGGCCTCGTCACGGCTAACAGGACACGGACAAACACGGCAAACACGCAAGCGGCATCATTACCCGACAGAGGAAACACACGCGCTGATGACAAGGAGACTGTGTCCGAGCGCCGGAGGCCCGCAGCTCAGAGTTCTGCCGGATTCCCCTGACAGCGTGTCCACTTATCACCTGCCCCTTACCCACAATGCACTTCTGTCTCAACACAAGATGAGATTCATCTATGAAGTTATGTCTTGCGTCTAGAGTGGGTGGGTGGGGAGGTGGTTCAACCAAAATCCTTCCGGTGTCAGAAACTACAGGCCGGTGAGCTGAGGAGACGGGGGTAATTATGTCAGAAGCTATGTAAACAGGCCTGGGATCCATATGCGAGGGGTGCCACCCATCCATCGGGGCTGTCTGACTGCCAGGGCGCTCGGAGCGCGTCGCCGTCTCGCATCTGCTATCAGCCTTGTCTCCAATCTCTTTATGGGCTGGAACCGGGGAAGGTGGAGGGGGGGGGGGGGGGTTGGGGGGGCCCTGGCTGTCAATGGTTATCATGCACCTTCAGATATGGTAACTATGGACACTGAAATGCTGCTCTTCTAGTAAGGTGATTCAAATACGTTCTCTGAGTGTGTGTGTTTGTCATGGTACAGATACTCAAATGCATTAGCAGTTTTATAAAACTGCAATTATGCTGTATCTGCAGTTAATGCACATTATCTTATTACATTTAAAGTGAATTACTATAAATACTTCAGTAATTATTATCAAAAACAATACAACAATCCGCGACCCTGCATAGAACAAGTGGGCACAGAAAATGGATGGATGGATAGATGATGGGTGGATGTTTGAATGGATAGATAAATTTTGCAGATTACACCATTTCCATGTGAGGAAATATCATTGCTAATATCTTTCAGTTCAGAAACGCTCAGGCCTGATTTGGCTTCATTCGTGTGGCTCTTCGCTCATTTACATATGCATTCACATTTATACTCCAGTGCCAATAAAAGAAACTGATCTCATGGCGTCTGACAGAGGGAACGCGGCCTGCCAGCCCCAGATTAATCTTTTATTTACATAATAAATGGAATTACCCAAATTTAGCCAGGATACACTCATGCACTGAATGTCTGTTAGTTACCGAGCGCAAGGACGCGTTTATGAATGAGGCCCCTCCTCTACACGGTGTCTCGTCAGAGTGCATCAAAGCCCGCACAAGCAGGCGGACCGGTGAAAGGTCAGCCTGCTGCCACGGAGACAAGAGGCACGCTGTGCTTAATGCTGGTCTGCTAACCCTGAACTGCTAATGCTGGTGTGCAAACCCTGGTGTGCTAACCCTGAACTGCTAATGCTGGTGTGCAAACCCTGGTGCGCTAACCCTGANGCTAACCCTGAACTGCTAATGCTGGTGTGCAAACCCTGGTGCGCTAACCCTGATCTGCTAATGCTGGTGTGCAAACCCTGGTGTACCAACCCTGATCTGCTAATGCTGGTCTGTTCAGCACAAGCTCCCCAGGCGACAAGCTTCTGGTATATACAAGAACCCAGATAACTGTCCGGTAAGAAAACCGTGAACGACTGGTGACACCCACTGAGGGCAGGCCTGGAAAGCCGGGTCCCCCCACAAGGCCGGGAACTCCCCACATCGAGAGCGGGGGCTGGGGGCACGGCTCTATAAATCAGGATGCAAAACAAAGAGGCTTAACAATGATATTTACCCTGAACCCTGCGAGACGGAGAGGGAAGCCAGGCAGACGCAGCGGCTTAAATCCTATTTATCCTGCTGCAGGGCAAATACACACACAGTCAATTTAATGAACGTGGGGGACTTGATAAAAGGGAGCCATACGTGTAACCCCCTTAAGCCTGATGAACAATCAGGAACTCTTATCTCAATATTGTTTCCCTCTTATTTTGGCAATAACTTAAGGGGGGAGTTGGCCGGGGAGGGGGCTGGTTAAATAGAGGAATGCGGTTTGGTGGGCATCCCCATGAGGTGGCCGGTTATTGCCTGTATGATATTACACCCTAAACCTCAATGCAGCTACCAAGTCAGCATCTTGCAAGTGGGTAAAAAAAAAATATATATATTAATAATAAAATAAAACATTAGACCACAGGAGATCATCACTTTGTGCATTGCCTCAGAAAGTTTTCGCATTTTTATAATTCACGTGCTACCTTATTAATACAGTTATTATGATGATGATTCACATTAAGCGCGACGCCACCTGCTGCTCATATAAGACCACTGCAGAAGCAGCTTCACTGTGGAGGAGGTGGATTCGTATAAAGGCCTACGAGGTAAACAGCACAGCAGAGGAGGGGTTAAGCTACCTTCAAGCGGACACCTGCCACACCAGGTTAGTTGGAGCTCAGAATGTGTGTGCGGGCTGAGGAGGACGCAGTCGCTGCCGGAGGCCCAGGGAGAACCATCCCATCCTGAATGATGACGTCGTGACCTGAGAGTGGCAGGTACACCGTGAGGCACCCACATCTGGGGGTCATAAATGAGCTCAATC